TTTAAAGAAAATATCTCCTAGAATCGCAGTCAATAAATTTTTAACATAGTTTGGTGTATCAAAACTACTGTAACTGTATAGCAACAGATATTGTTAAATTTTGACTGCTAAGACTTTTCTTTGCAGTGCTCTGTAATAAGCAATAAAACATTTTTAATAATAAGGGAATTATTTCATGCGTACCTGTACAAAAAAAAAAGTATGAGTAGATAAAGTAGAAATGAGATAAAAATAGTAAAGAAAATGAAAATCTTTAAAACATTTTTAAAGGTTTATTGTGATACTCCTGAATGTAAACATCAAATAGAGGATATGTAACAATAAACAATTTATATAGATATAATATAAGTCTTTTTCTTTGCTAAGTTGGGTTACACTTGAACCGAAACAAAATGTAGACTCGTGTTATGTTTTAATTGTTTTATTTATTAGTTGACACAAGAAGCCCATTTATATGGGTTGATAGTGTACACATGAAGGTACCTGGTGATGCAAATTTTGATGTCTTTAAGTTTTAGAAATCTTGCTGCATGATACTTTCATGCTTATTGCCCGATTAAAAAATAACAAATGTTTTATTACAAAAAAATGTAAAAAAAAGCGAGACTTATTTGTCAAAAATTACAAATTATAGTCTTGCTTAAATAATAATTTAAGCGAGATTTGCAAGGTACTTGATACATAAGATAAAATAATAAGATACTTTTCTTCTTGCCAAGATTATTAATTCTAATATTTATAATTTCTAATATTTTAAGTCTTTATTTATAGTTAAATTTCTTTTAAATGGTATCAATGTCATTTTATTCTGAACCTTACCCAAGATATTTGTTTTCTCTTTTATAACATGGTGACCCCACAAGGATTGTGGACTAAATATTTTTAAAAAAGAGAGAAATCAGCTCTTTCATAACATCTTGTCAATGAAAAAACCACTCTGTGCTATGAATGAGCCGTAACGTTTTTTCTAAAACTAACAATTATAAATATCTTTAGTTAATTGCGAATGTAAACCGGCACCCAGTTTCGTCCAATTGTATTGTTTAAGAAAATCCAGATTCATTATTACAATCAATGATTATTACTCTCTTGATAAGACCTAAAGGGTCAAGTTGACCCTTTAGGTCTTATCATAGCACAGAGTGGCTTTTTCATTGACAAGATGTTATGAAAGAGCTGATTTCTCTCTTTTTTACTGATTTCTCTTTTTTGCTGCATGATACTTTCTAATGAAATCAGAACATTGTGCAGCAATTGATTTATAAGCTGCTTTGTCATTAGGTTTACCTGTTACTTTTGATCTTTTCTATGCCATTGTAATTTAATGTAATCCTTCCAGTAGGAAAGTAGTAATGTATGTATGTAGGTATGTAGGTATGTATTTCTTTATATTATAAAGTTATGTTATTATATCGCTATATCATCAGCCAATCAAAACTACTTTAGAGACAATTTCTTGAAATGTGGTTCAAAAGCAGCCCATAGCACAGCTATTCTGTTCAAGTTCCTGTTCTCTCTTCAGTTCAAGATGAACTAGTTTTCATTGTGAACTCTCCAGTATGAGTCAATGTGGTTAACATATAAAAATGTGGAAAAAAACTAAACTATAAAATAAACTATAAATAAAAATAAACTAAAGATTATTACTCATTAAATTAATTTTTTGTTTCGCTTTTTTGTAAAAAGTTTAAAATTTTTTTTTTGTTTTATTATTACTTATACATGTAGAGTAACAATTCAATGTTTGGGTTATTGTTATTGTCTAATCTCCTCGATGATGATCGATAGCTACTCTTACCTTTCCAGAAAGTCTTTTTTAAAAAATGTTTGTTGGAACAATTTTCTCAAGAGCAAAAGCTCTTGAGAAAATTGTTTCATATTTAATAAATGCTATTGTTTATTAAAGAATTATATTTCTTTTTTTTTTTGTATCTACCAAATTTCTTTTTTTTTTTTTTACCTCTTTCACCAAAATCTTTACAACTAGAGTCAAGGTCTTTGATTTTAGGTGCTACTTCTTTTCGAGATAATAGCTATTTGTTTGAAGTGCTTGTACATGCAGGGTTTGTTAGACCATTTCTTACATCAGTCTCCACTCTATACATAACTGCAGCAACATGATTACAAGTTAGAACCTAGCCAGCAATGCATGTACAATAACAGGCTTTTATTTTTACACCTTTTTTTAATACCAATCACAGTTTATATTTATCATTGATAAATTGTGATCTCCGACATTCTGATTTAAATATACAGTAATTACTGTTAAACTAAGATACTCTGAGGCTGAAGCCACGAAGAGGTAACTATATGCTTTCGAGTTTTTATAGTCACTTAAGTCTTTACTTCTGATTTCTGATGGGTTAAAAATTAAATAATTAAAAATATCTGGATATAAAAACATTGGCCAGAATGGCATACTCTCTTGTTCATCCATCCAGCTATCAAGAATTTTAAACAGGTATCTGCATATTCTCTAATTTTAGTTTCAAATTATTTAGTTTCTAATTATTCTTTTGTAAATCTGTATTTACTTCTACTACTGTTTTCCATTGCAGCAAATACACCAGCCACTAGCTCTTCTTTTTTACTTTTTTTTTATTATTTCAGATTTTTAACTCTTTAACTTTCTTCTTTGAAATAAAAATTTAACTTTAATCTCCTTAATTTCAGATTTTTAACTCTTTAACTTTCATTGTATTCCATAATTATTTTTATAGTAAATATTTGTTTTAGCAGTGTTAGTTAGATGTTTATACTTTGTTTTCTCAAGTGAATGTTGTATGTTACGAATAATGGAAATATATTTTTACCACTCCTATTAGAGTTCAGACCTTTTATAAAATGACGTTTTTTAGATTTGCTCAATCGTGTTTGTGAAGATTAGTCTAAAGACTATGAAAAGTATTTTACTATAGAAAGTTGTTTAAAAAGAAAAGGGGTATCTAAAAAAAAAAAAAATGCCTGAAAAAAGCTAAGCTAAGCAGCTGTGGCACAGTGGTGAGTTAGTATTTATAAAAAAGCTAATTATAAAAAAGCTGTGGTGCAGAGGTGGTTAGATTTCTGACTCAAAACCAAGGGGTCCGAGTTAGATGCCTGCTCTGGCTAGGTAAGCAACATGCTCTTCCACAGTACTCTGTGAGAAGATTGTAAGGATTTCTTGGGTCACCTAAGTAACCATAAAAAAAAATTTATACTAAAATATCTACTATTTATGTTTTAATTTGTAAGTCAAGTTCTGAAAACATTTGCTGAAAACTTTACATCTTCAAATTGTTGATACATTGAACAACTCCATTGTTGTTTTCCAGTAAGAAATGATCTTTTAATAGGTGTTAAATGTATTACCTTTAACACAATAACACCTTTTATTTCAAATCATATGAATATTAATGACTTAATTAATCATCACCATGTTACAATACACTTTACCAGTTGCTCACAAAAATAAGAGCTCCTTAGTGTTTATTGGTGAAAAAAATATTATTATGATATGCTGTTTGCAATGATTAACTTACAAAAAAATCTTTTATTTATTAAGGTAGTTCAAAAATTACAAAATGGTTGCTTTTTTAGTATGAAAATGATGCTATTGTAAATTAAAATTAATGAAACTCAAGTTTTCCTCAACCCATTGAACATCAAAGTGTTTCAAATTGTTTAAGAGTATTTTGCAATATGACTGTTGCTGCTTTAAAAACTGATTGGCTCATTCAAAAATCTGATGATACCACAGTTATTTATCTTTATTTTCAAATTTTTATAAATTGTTAATATTAAAGTACTATAATGATATTTTAAATGACGAAAATCAATTTTTTATAAAATTAAGATGAATGATTAAACTTGTCGTAAAATAGCGTCTAAAAAAAGTTTAACTAAAGATACTTTAGTTGCACAACTATGTGATTACTTTTCAGGTTTGAATCTCTTAATGAGATATTTATATATAATCAATCCTCGGAATCAATCCTCGGAATCAATCCTCGGAATCAATCCTCGGAATCAATCCTCGGAATCAATCCTCGGAATCAATCCTCGGAATCAATCCTCAGAATCAATCCTCGGAATCAATCCTCGGAATCAATCCTTGGAATCAATCCTCGGAATCAATCCTCGGAATCAATCCTCGGAATTAGGAAAAATGATCTCAATCTTTTAGAGGTCGACTTGGCATTTCTGAATGGCTAACCCTATTTTTGAGGTTGGCATTTCTGAATGCCAAACCTAATTCTGAGGCTGTATATTGCTATTTGTATCACTTTTTTTTTGCTTTACTTGTTTATTTTATTAAGGTCATTGGAGTGACAATGACTATTTTTAGTCATTAGAGTGACACCAAACCAAATTTATATATATTATAAATAAAATTATAAATAACTTTGTAATTTTTTCAATTTTATGGTTAAATAAATGGATAAAAATTCAAAAAACCTTGGATTGGCTTGACATAATATTAGTTTTTCTCTCTGTTGAGTTTTTTATAACTTTCTGGATCCTATATGCATTTGGAAACCACCTGTGGTTTGTTTTTGAGTGTTTTTGATGCAATTTTTCTGAAATTATTAATCTTCTTACTTTTTCTTTGTTACTGATCATAGAGCCATCCATCATACTTGTTATTTGAAACTTTGTTGCTTTACTTACTGCATTTTGACTTATTTTTGTTATCTTAAATTTTAGTTATCTTAACTTTTAGGTGTTATTAAAATATTTATAATTTGGCTAAACTAGTCAGCATGAATTTTGTTCTGTGTTTTAAAAAAAGTTGTCAAACTATCATATAACATATAAGTTTATAAAATAATTATAAATTATTTTAGCAGTTAAAAAAATTATTTTAATAATTTTGGAGTTGAAAAGAAACTAGAACTGGAATCTAAAAACATGAAATAAACACATGTGTTATGTAAATAAGTATTTGTATTGAATAATATAAATAAATATTTATATAAAACATTAAATAAAAATTGACTTTTTTCCTGTAAATTGTTTTATAGGCTGTTGTATTTCTGAAGAAAGTTGTTGAATCACAAGAAAAACAAATTCAAGAATTAAAAGAAAGTCAAAAGTTCATTGAAAACAAAATAAATATAGAAAATATAGCTGATGATATTAAAAAAGACTTTCAATCTCAAATTGATTCTATTTTCTCTGTAATTTCTAAACAGCAGAAGCTAAGGCATATGTCATCATCAAAAGACAATGGCAAAACAGATAAATTGCTTATGTATATGTTTACCTATATACTGTTGTTGTTGTTATTGTTCTTGTTATTATTATTATTATTATTGCTATTATTATTACTATTATTATTATTATTATTATTATTATTATTGTTATTTTTATTATTATTATTGTTATTATTACTATCAGGAATAGTATACCCAGATGGATCTTTCAATTTCATGTGATTTTGACAAGACAGCTGAAAGTTTAATATGCTTAAAAACAATATTTTGAAGTTTAATTTTATATTAACATGGTTTTGATGCTAATATTAACAGTTTTATTTTTTGTTACTCATTGAATCTTTAGTTTCTAATTGAATAGTATCTTGATATTTTATAACATTAAATTTATAACAAAAAAAGTTTTTCAAAAACTTTAATTTATAACTTCTATGTGGAAACAATGTCAACCCTAACCCTAACTCTAACCCCTAACCACATATTGTACATTGTTTTAATTATGTGCAAAACTTTTTAAGTTTGCGGTCATCAAAATCAAGAAATTTTTTCTCATGTCTTATCCAATATTGTTATACCCTTAAAAGCAATTTAAATGGTGGAAATAACTGTGTTGATTCATAATGCTTTTAATTTGAAAGGTAAAGCTGTATACAAGTATATAAAAAGTTTAGAAATGTATCTAACACAGTGCAACCACATGTCTGTGGTTACACATCTCTGTGGTAATACGATAAAAAAAGAATACAAATATATGACAAGTTGATGCTCAGTATGGTGACATAGGTATATGGTGACAGTATCATGACTTAGTTGACAAGGAGTATGGTCGCATAGTTGAGCACAAGAAACTCCAAGGAATTATCATGTTTCAGCATAAGTTATAAATAGTTAGCATTTACAACTACTGAAGTTGTTCAGTAAATTGGATACTATGGGTTAATCCAGCACAAAGTTTCCTACAAAAGTAAAAATATATATAAAAATAGTGTTCTTCAATGTAATAGTAACAATATCAACCTGAACATATGCAAGAAAGTATTTAACTATCTGTATGTTCCAAGTTAGCCTTCTAATTGGTCTGTCTGATCTTCAGTCAACAATTTTCTAATTGAATTAACTCCATATAGCGTATTTAACAAAGCATTTTTAGTTTTACTTGTGAATGACTTATTACGCTTCAGCCCTTTCTTCCAGGCATTACTACAACAGCTTTCAAAAAACCAGATATCCGATCCGGTTTTTTGAAATAAGATTCAGATTAAACCGAACCGGATCCGATGTGTGGTTTTAAAATCTATAGTTAGAACTTCCAAATATAGATGAGCATAACAGGATATCCGGAATAGACTAATTAAAATCACCCCTATTTAAAACTTCCGACTTGGAAGTTTTAACTAGGGGTAAGAAAAACCAGATATTGGATCCGGTTTGGTTAAATCCGAATCCTATTTTAAAAAACCAGATCAAATATCCAGTTTTGCTCACCCCTATCTTGAAGTTGTTTATCATTGACATTTTTGTATGAAGCTCTTATTTAAGTTTTATAAGATCCGTACCTTCTTGTTTAATATTAGAATAATATAAGTAAAATTCTTTTTAGAAAGTTTCTCTAAAGTCACAAATTTTAGGAGCAACTAAACATTATTTCATATATACTTACCAAATCTTTCTAGCAAACATTATTTCATATAAACTTACCAAATCTTTCCAGCAATCATTATTTCATATAAACTTATCAAATCTTTCCAGCGCACATTATTACATATAGACTTACTAAATCTTTCCAGCAATTATTATTTCATATAAACTTACCAAATCTTTCCAGCAATCATTATTTCATATAAACTTATCAAATCTTTCCAGCGCACATTATTACATATAAACTTACCAAATCTTTCCAGCACACATTATTAGCCATGTATTATTACAATATTATTAGCCATGGCTCATCTAAATTTAAAACAAAACATTGGTATATGTTAGGATTTGTCAGAAGATCATCTGATATAAGACATAAAATTTCTTCACCATGTTTAGCAACTGTCTGTGCAATTTTAAAATTTGATTTTTGTACTAAAATGACAGAAAGCATAAATTGACACTATATAAAACACAAAAGCTGGTTTTCCAAACATTGGTTTATTCATAAAACAAAGATTTTTCAGTAGGATTGTCTTCACTGTGACCTATTAAATGATATTTGATTTCCACAACAATTTCCTACTGAGCATTTTCTTGGCATGTTTAAAACAACACTTGAAATTAGGGTCTGCACCTGGCAATACCAACCTAATTTTCGACCTAAAAAAGTTTCAGGTCTAAAATATTTTTTTTTATTTTATCACCACGAGCAGTTAAGTTTTGGACAATTTTAAAATGAGTTTTCTCAAAAGCCACTTAATCAATTGTAATGTTTTTTTTTTATAATGGTTCTTTCATAATTAGTTTTTTTGTGAGTGGGTGTAGTTTTGTTTACTTCTTATTAGTTTTTACAATGTCAAGTAAAAAGTTTGAAAATCAAAACAATAGTTTAAAACTTGTAAAATTCCAAAATTAACTGTTGGAATTGTTATGAAATGTTATAAAGAAAATAAAACTGTAAAAAGAAATTTGAGAAGTGGTGGAAAAACAAGATTTATTTCCAAAAAGGTAAAATCAATAGTCAACTCAATTCATGGAAATACAACTCAGTCTCAACAAGATTTAACTATGAAGTTTAAATGCAGTAGATCTTTTGTTAAAAAAGTATTCAAAAAGGAAAATCTGAAAGCATGTTAAAAGAAAAAAACACTAAAAAAGTTGCTTGATGGAGAAATCAAGGCAATTAGACAAGCTAAAAATTTGCTCTAACTAATTATTTAAAAAATTTATGCATTTCAGAAGACAATCAAACTTACTCTAATAAAGACCACTTGATGCTTCCAGGTAATCAATACTATTATCAGTCAAAATATTATAAAGCCTCTGACAAATTTGAGTACATTTGAGTACATTTGAGTTAAAAAATTATTTCCCAAGTTTCTTGAATGGCAGGCTTTTTGCAGTTGTGGTTTTAAAAGCTTTCCTTTCGTAACATCAATCTTTGACACCAGACCTATATGTGTAATTAAAAACCACAAACAAACAACCTATTTTCCAAAAAAGTAATGCAGTGGTATAAGAAAAATTGATTCAATTTTTTTTCAAAGGATGCTAATTTACCAAACTGCCCTGAAGTAAACAATGAAACAATTTCCTGAGCAGCAATCTTAATGAGCTTTTGTGAAAATTTAGGAAACAAATCTGTAAATAGTGTTAAAAATTTCTGAGATTTATTGATTAATGCTACAATGAAAGTGATGCAAAGTAAAATTGTAGAGATGATGTCGGATACTTTACAAAAAATTAAACTACTTGTGTGTCATCAAGTTAAGGCTTAATTTATTTTTGTTGAATAAAAACTCTTTTAATTTAAGCTATAATAAAAAACACATTATTTGTTTGTGAGTCAGTCTTCTCGTTCATTTCACATCGATTCAATAATGTGCTTCCTGGACTTTTAGTAGTCTCTTATTACTAATAATATTATTATTATTGTTATTATTATTATTGTTATTATTATTTATATTAGTGTTGCTATTATTATTATTACTTTTGTTATTATTATTGTTACATACTTGTTGGTTTATCTAGTTGTTGTTTCAATAATTTTTTTAGCACATCTTTAGAAGATGATATTAACACAATCAAAAGAGATGGATTTGAAATGAAACAAAAAATAAGTAAGCTTGTTCATTGTACATTAAAAAGTTTTTTCTTTATCATTGCTTTAATTTTTTTAAATTTTTTAAAATTTAAATATAATTTTTTGATTTATCACATTCTTGTAAATTTTTATGTAAGCACTCATACATCCTCACAAAATCAGCTATTTTTAATGTGTGTCGCTATAAGCTATATATATTGCTAAGTTTTTTTTTACAGAAATTCTTGAGAGAGATATCCAAACCAACTGTAGAAATATTACTGGTGAAATATCATGCATTGAAAAGGTTTATAAAAAGTTCCAATTTTTTTATTTTTTTATTGTAAAAAAGCAGGCATTTTAACTTTTATAATTTGTTTATTTGTCTATTTTTAGTTTATAATTTTTTGTTTTTTACATTTTATTTTTAATCTGTATTGTTACCATTTTCTTTGTACCATTCTATTCTGATTTATTGTTTAAAATACAAAATACCTTGTTACCATTCTCTTTGTACCATTCTATTTTGATTCATTGTTTAAAATATAAAATACTTTGCTATGATTTTTTTCAACAATTTCGCTCTATTTCATTGTTTAAAATATAAAATACTTTGCTACCATTCTCTTTTAACATTTCCATTCTATTTCATTGTTTGAAGATTAAAATGATTGAGGATTAAAAAAATTTTGAAGATTTCTGAAAAATATTTTACGGTGTTGTGTGAAAAATTGTTGTTTTCTGCATTTTAAATTTAAATTCAAAATTTAAACTAAAAAATTCTTATTTTGTTTTTTCTTTGAAAAAGTTAATAATTTTTTAGGATGTTAAAAGCATTGCACAAAATCAAAATGTACTTCATCGTTCTACAATAAAAAAAGAACAGTCTTTAGAAGATATAAGACATGAACTGTTCAAAGTGAGGTGATTTTAAGTTTGTTTTTTCATATTATTCAAAAAGTAAAATAAAATAAAAAATTCAATTGATACATGTTTGTTGATTCATTAATCATTTTACTTTACAAAAAAAAATTATTACACTCATAATGTCAAAAAAAACAACATTATTACACTCAGTACATTTATACACCTGTGCAATGCTGACACCCATACGCACCCATAATGCTGACTAGTTAAAAAACAAATGAATAAAATATAAATAAACTAAAAAAGATTCACCTTCGGTAGATTTTCCAAATTTTTATTTCAGTTAATGGTAAGTCTAACAGAAGTTATATTTTTATTCTTTGTAATGTAAAAATGAAATAAACTTTATTTTGACTTTTATTAATTGGTTTTTATTATTTTTGTGTTTTAGTGAAGATCTGAATGATTTGAAGGAGCGTACAAAAAATAAGATACATTTAGAGAATGTTGTTCCAAAGTTTTCAAGTTAGTATTTTGCTCCCTTGATGATTTATTTATATCTCTTTCTTAAATTAGCTTTTTACTTTTTTATTTTCACACTTACCTTGTACAGATTTTTTTTTTTAGACAATATACTTCTCATAAAATTCACTTAAATTAACAAAACAATAATAAAATGAATACTTAATGAAAAAAAGTTGTATAATTTAAAACAGGTTTTACCATATCAAGTTTCACTAATATCATAGAAACAATAAATTGTTGTATACACCATAATACATGTATACATCATAATACATGTACACACTATAATACATGTATTTATCATAATACATGTATACTAGAATGCAATGTATACATGTATACATCATAATACATGTATACACTGCATCTAGTTCTTTTCTACACCCCTGAGTGATATTAAAACTGTTTTGGTTTTGTTTTGCTAGATGTAGAAATCAGATGATTTCATAATTAACCGTAATTTCAAAATTTTCTTGGTATGTCGTCAATATTTTTTTACTTCTTCAAAATGTATCATTTGGAAAAAAAAAATGTAATTTAAAGTTTAGCTTTTCATTCAATGACTAGAATAACATTGCATTGCAAAACGTTTTATTGCAATTTTGAACATTTTTAAATTGTTAACAAAACTACTAATAAAAAATTTTGCAATTAGAAAAAAAGTCGTAGTAAACATAGTTTCAGGTAAGGTTTAATACCGGTATTATTCAGTTTTAACTTTTAGGATTTAAATTTTATGAATTGTTTTTGAATTAAATATAAATAAAAAATAAACATTAAACATTATTTATGTTATAGCTAACATATAAACACAAAGATGCAATCAAGTATTGAAGAAAAAAGGCGAAACATGTCAGACATCTAAATGTCAGTTGTAGGAGGCCCTTTTACCTTCTTAAATCTCCTATTTCTTTTTTACCTCTGAATCAGCTTCCAACTAATGGGTTACTTCTAAGACATTATCAATATTTAATAAGCAGTAGATCAAAGCGATTTAAAAGTATTTACTATAAATTTTCTTGTCCTATGGGATCAAATTTTAAAATGAAATGCAAAGGAAAAAAAGGTTTTATAAGGAAAATGGAGATTTGTATTTTCTTAGAAAAATATCTGGGAGTTCTGTGGTTTTAAAAACTATATTATTGGAGAGGATAAAATATTATCAAAATTTGTGAAACATATTATTGTAGATCTTTTAAACCTGGCGTTGATGGTAGGTAATACTAGTTATAATTCTGATGAGGATGAATATCAATAAAAAACATTAAGCAACACAAAAAAAATAAATAATAACGACATACCACTTATGCTTCAATCCGATTCAATACTTGTCAATAAAGAAATTACTTGAGATGGACTAATTGCAGCTACAACTCCTCTCAGTGTAAGGACCGGCTTAGGCTACCAAAATCAAACATTGTTTATAGCTAGTATTATGAACTACCTTGGAGTATATATGAAAAAAATTAAGGTAAATAGAGAAACGGTCAGATTGAAGCGTTATGAGGTTGTTCAAAATCATGGAAATAAAATTAGACAGAATTATATAGAGGAAATTAGAGGAAAAAATCTTGTCCTTCACTTTGATGGCAAACTAGTTACACATTTGTATAAGAAAATCCAACAAACAGTTACAAGAGATAGAATTGCTGTGTCTGTTACTAGTCCTGAATTTCAACACAAGGACCATCTTCTTTTAGGGATTGTTCCAAGTGACACAGGTAAAGCATCTGATCAGGTTTTAGTAATTCAAAATTTGTTAGAATATTTTGAAGTTTCAGACCAAGTATTTGCTATTATGTCCACACCACATACATGAAATACATATTAAACATATTTACAAATCAATAATTGGAGATAACACCAAGGGTTCACGAAAGGCCCTTTATTCCAACTTTAAGAAGTAATGGGAAAATTTTGTCTCATTTTTATCTAATCTTATGGTGTCTCTTCTAGTTTTAAAAAGTTTGATGAGAGTACTCTCATAATTGTTTCTGGAATTCATCAAATGTACTCGGAGGCGAAAACATATATTAAATTTGTTCTTGAATTTGAGATTTTCCTACGAGATAATAACAGACATCTTGTGGAATACTTAGCTTTCTATCTTAATATTCAGTCTGACAAGATGATAACAGACATCTTGTGGAATACTTAGCTTTCTATCCTAATATTCAGTCTGACACGCTAAAGTATTTTAGGATTCATCAACCAGGTGCCTGTCATGAAGCTAGATTCCAGGCAGATACATTATATCACATTGCTTTAGAAATGACATTGCCAGTTATAAAATACTTAAATCAAGACCAGCAGATTCTAGTCTCTAAAATTTGTCAAATGATTGTTATATTTTATGCTCCATGGTTTTTAAAATCCAGTCTTGCTGAACATTCAATATTTGATGACTTTAATTCATTCAAAGTAGCAAAAATCATAAAAGAGGAATGGGATATTGATGTAGGTGCTTCACTTTTAAATAGTTCAAAATCTCACTCCTGGTATCTTTTGCCTAAAGCAGTAGTCTTAGCTCTTGCTAATTCAAATAAAGTCTGACATTTTGAAGGCCTTGTTCCAATCAGAGACAAAATATTTTGCTAGTTTTTTGAGAAAATTGAAAACATCTCAGATCGAAGTCAATATTACTAATAATATAAAACAGTAATTATACTAACTAACATTTGCTTTTTTACATAGATTTTTTAGTACTTTGAAAAAAAATGATGAATATTTAATTTATTGAAAAAATACATCTACCTGTTTCAATGATCCTAGTAAGCTAAAATTTTCAATATAAGCTAGTATATAGATGGAGAACAGGTAATTACACAGTGTATTTGCACTTTTTGAAAAGTTAGAAAAGTGCAAAAAAATTGTCACAATGTATACACCATAATACATGTATACACCATAATACATGTATACACCATAACACATGTATACATCATAATATCATAGAAATAAAAAAATTGCTGACCTCATCAGCATTGGCAAATGCCAACTTAAATTCTAAGAGCAGCAGATTGTGGATACATATGTAATCCTTACACTGCAAAACTTTTACTTGTTAATAGAAATAACTGTTACTTGTTAATTGATAATAAATTAATAAATTAAACTGTTAACTAATAATAAATTAATAAATTAAACTGTTGAAAACTTTTTTATAATGGTTGTTGAAACATTATCAATCAAGTATCTAACTTTTATTGATAACATTAAAAACTAACATCTTATAAATGTATAAAGAGTAAAATGTTCAAATGCCAATCATAAAATTAATACTCTTAAAATAATTTGACTTGAATAGGCTTTCAACCATTTTTGAACATGTTGGTTTCTTGTAATGTTTACAAAGTTTTTTATCTCTCTTAAAACCCTTAAAAATTTATCACTTTTATGAAATTTTATCACAAGTTTTTTTGTGAAGAAAGAATGCCATTTGTTTAACTTTTCTTAATGTTCAAACAAAGTATAAGGTTGGATATTTCAAAGAAATTTATTATTTTTTACTGGTTAATATTTCTTAACCAGCTTTTTTGTGTTTTAAAAAAGTTTTGTCTAAAAGCTGAAAACATGTACAATACATTTTTTTTTTAATTTTTTTTTTTGTATACTTAGATCAAGTGTTTCAAATCAGTTTTTCATTTAATACTTTTGAGGATAGAAAAAAAATGATTTTTAAGTAAAAAATAACAACAAAATTATTGTATATTTCTTCAAAATTTATAAATAGTGGGGGGTCTAATATTTAAAAAGAAAAATTCTCCCCCATTTTGCTCTCCTACCTTTTATTCAGCAGGTGAGAGTAGTGTGGTAATCACTCACTTTTTAAAGAGATTTCGTATTATTTCAGGTTCTGTCAAAAATCATTACAGACATTATTCTCAAAGAAGTTTGACAAGTTCACAAAAGCATGATAAAAAAAAACACAATCAGAGCATAGCAAAACTTGATGTTTCCTGTCCTGTTGTAACAACTACTCTTTCATTAAATGACTTAGATCAATCATTAGAGGAGTCATCTATTGATCTTTTAAATTCAAGACAACACAACAAAAGCAAAAAGAGTGATTTTTGGGAAACTTTAGAACAATCAGACAGAGTTCAAGAGATTGATCTTAAAAGCACATTAAAAAATTCTTTTGATTCAGATATTGATTACTCACTTGATGATTTTGGTAATTTTTTTAAATTTCTTTTGTTTTTATGTGAAAATAAAATATATATGATTAAGTCCTATCGGTCATTGAACCATTACTTGGTAAACCAAATTATAATATAATATAAAATAAAATTTTTACATATATTAAGTGAGTAAGTTTGTTGTTTTAATAAATATTGAATGAGCAACTTTATTGTTTAAATAAATATTGAGTGAGCAACTTTGTTGTTTGTGTATTTTAATACAACAAAGAAGAAGAAAAAAAACTCTTTAACAAAACATGATTACTAGCTCCACGCACCAGTAATTTACAAGCAATATGTGTTTTTCGGAACTTTAATTTATTATGTTGTTTTTTTTGTGTACACAAATTATTATTTTATAATAATACTTATTATTATAAAATAATAATGCGTATGCATTAAATTAATTACTCAACAAAAAAATTCCAAAAATTTATTCTTAAGTCATTTTTTTATTCCTTTTTTTTATTTCATTTAACATTTACATTGTTAGTTAAGAACTAAGTATTCATTTTTCAATCTTCTTTTATCATCGTTTTTTTCTATAATCTTTGCACTTCTATCATCTTTTTTTAAGATTTTATATTATCATTTCTCCATCTTTAGATTTATCATTTATATTTGTTGCTGGTTTAAAATTATGTATTTTTAAATGTATTCTTTATTTTCAAATGTATTCTATGTATATATATGTATTCAGTGTTTTTAAATGTATTCTTTATTTTCAAATGTATACTGTGTTTTTAAATGTATTTTATGTTATCAAATGTATTCTTTATTTTCAAATGTATTTTGTGTTTTTAAATGTGTTCTTTATTTTCAAATCTATGCTGTGTTTTTAAAAATATATTCTGTGTTTTCAAATGTATTTTTTATTTTCAAATGTATTCTGTATTTTCAGGTTTTTTAACAATAACACTCATTTTCAAAATATTTCTAAATTACCCGAATCTTAATTTCTTAAATGGTTTAAGTATTAAAGTACTACAAAAAATTGTTGAAAAAGTTTTTTTCAGTTTAATGTTATACTCTTAAGTCCCTAATAAAAGGGGGGAAGGGCATTTATTAATTTTCTGGAAAATTTTCCCACCCACCCTAAGCTTATTAAGCCCCCCCCATTTATTAAAGCAAAAAAAATATATTAGTTTAGATTTATAAACTTAAATTTAAAAAAAAAACTTATATTGTAATATAAAAATGTTCCCACCCCCTCTCTTTTTATTAGATTTGGACTAAAATTCCCATCCCTCCCCCACTCCTTTTTTCTCCACCCCCTCCTTGTATTAAGGATTAATTATTTTACCAAGTTGTTGGTTAAAATTATTTTACAATTTTAACCAACAACTTGGTTAAAATTGTAGTAGTCATCATTTATTTCATATTTATTTTTTTAACAATCCTAAGAATACTTTTCTTAGATATATCTAACAGAAAACCCTTGCAAAAGTTATCAATAATCATTTCATTTTCAATTTAAAAATTTAAATGTGTGTGATGTCAAAATTATTTGACAAGCAAAATTTCTGTCAAGTATATTGGCTTTTTTTTTAGATGTACCATATCCTATATCACAAATACCTTGTGTCATGCCAGAACTTACACAAATACCTATGTCATAAACAGTATTGCCAGTCATATGAATTTTTTTATTATTATTTATACTCGATTGGGAAGCTCTCTGTATTAAATTTTAAATGTTGTTTTTACTCTGTCCTCAATACTTGTTGTTCCTGAAGCAACGAATAATGTAGGCTAATTGATAATGTAGGATAATCAGTAATAAAGAAACTAACAATGTAGGCTAATCGATAATGAAGTAACCAATAATGTAGACTAATTGATAATATAGGCTAACTCATATTGAAGTAAGTGTTAATGATGAAGTAATAGTTTCTATTAATATTAAATCAGAAAGTTTAAAAGTTCCAACATGCTTTCAATTAGTAAGGTCATTAATGTGAGTTATGTCTCCATTATTTTTAAATTGTTTTGTTTTAACTTTGGTTTACAGTTAACTTAATTGTTTTAATTTTTTACTTTTTTTTTACTTGTAATCAGCATTTCTATCATTTCTATCGATCACGTTTAAGAGTTTTTTGATTGTCACACTGGGGTGGGGAAAAAATATTCTGAAAATTGTCTTGAAAGATTAACTTTGATTTTGATTTGGTTATGTTAGGTTTATGGTTAGCTGTTTGGTATGTTTACTTACTCTCGAGTCATTAATAAAATGGGGGGGGGGGGGTGACGTTTATTCAATTTTTGAAATTTTTCCACCCTTCCCAATGTTATTAAGGGCATATTTATAAATAATAGTTTATATATAATAAATATAATTATATAATTAATACCTCTCTTTCCCCCGTTTATTAGTTTTTACTTGTTATCAACAACAATTTAAAAAATCAGTGAAAATTAACTTTAAAAATTAGAAAATAATTATTTCATTCACTGATAAAAACAAAAACTATCAGTGTAAACATGCTTTAAAAACTACTCACCAAGTAAATTTTGACTTGTCAAACATGAACTTTTTGTTTATTTCTTATCAAAGTTTAAAACTGATCAGCATATTAAATCTTTTTAAAAATTATTATAAAACAATCGTTCTCCCTCTTTTATTAACTCCCTCCCCTTTCTCCCCCCCCCCTCCCCTCCTCCTCTGTTTATTAAATCTGGACTAAAATTCATATCTCCCCTTCCTTTTAATTCCCCCCTCCCCCTCTCTTATTCTGTATTAAGGACTCAAGAGTAGATTGAACAGTATAATTATGTTTTGTTTAATTGGTTCAAAGTCTTTCTCATAGAATTTATTTTAAATTTTTTTTAATTCATTTTCTTTTTAAAATCGAGTTTACATTATCATCAAAGTCCGATAAACTTTTGATTCATCTCTTTTTTCCAATTTCTTTTTGTCATTTATTGATCGAAAGATCTAACAGCGTTTCGACATGTAAAATCTCTGTACATATTTACAAAAGCTTTTTTTTTAGCATTCATGGAAATACTATGTCATACAAAAAAAAAACATTCTGGATTGAAGCAGCTATAGATTTTACAAGAGATTTTTTCATAGAAATATATCAGCCTGTTTGTTTTTATCAACATAGATACACTACCCTGCTTGTTTTTATCAACAAAGATACACCACCCTGTTTGTTTTTATCAACATCATGTCAACATATTTATAGTCGTGATGTTTTTTGAGTTCACCTTGAAAGCATTTTAAAACAATATGATGTGATATTGTGCATATATTACACTCTGTTCAATGTTCAAGTTTTTACTAATTTTTTAACTATTTGACTTCATAAAAAAAAAGTTAATTGCTAATTTCATTAACAAGTGCAAAAACATGCAGAGGCATCATCATCGTTGTATGCAGTATTAGCAACTTATAAACTACTGACTTTCTAAAGTAGTTTGATTAATTTGAATCAAAAATTAATTTGCTATTACTTATTTTTGCAATTTTTTTTCCATTTTGATCTATATCACAGTTCACAATCGTTTTTCGTGGAATGATCAAGTAGCAAAAGCTATTTTAAATTCATATACTGTTCTTGGGATTTTTAGACGCACTATCAAACATTATATTCTTGAAATGTGATCTTATACAATAGTTTAAGATTACCACGGTATAAGCAAAGTTAAATGGATCGAATCGCCATTTCCTGCTCCTGAACTTGTACAAGGAGTCCTCAAAGACCACTGGGTCTTTGGGGTTTTCCCCATCGCATTCGGGCACCAAGAATTATTAAATGTGTAGCTCGCAAAACTTTTTCATGTAACCGTGTGGCAGTTGATTGGAATGCGCTACCACCAGATATCATTACCTTCGATAGAAATGTACCAGATAGTGTCAACATTAACACTTTCAAAAAAAAGCTTGACAGATTTTTTGGCTCACTTCCAAAAAAACTGTATGATCGATACTTTTCGTTTCTCGTTTGAGAATGTTATTAATTCGTTTAACCCTGATGGGAATGTTATTAAAACGTTTCTCGTTTAGGAATGTTATTGATTCAATGTGCCGATAATTTTTTTTTTTTATTATTTTTGTTTGGTAATCCTCTATACTGGATCTACCATAGTAGGGATTGGTTGATTTCCCAGATTCACGGATTTTTTTGTTTTGAAATTGTAGATTAAATTAAAAAAAAAAAAATCTAAATCAATAAATTACATAAATTTTAACGTCAGGTTTAAGAAACCGCTGTCGGAATTTTTAAATTCTATCAATACTTCAAAACATTTTAAAAATAAAGGTAACCTGACCAAACATAGAAATTCAGCTAAAACTGAATTTACTTTTGAACTTTTCTCAAAAAATTAATTCAGAATAAATGCTCACTACCATCTAATAAGGCCAGTGACTTATTGTTCTTGTGTTTTTTCTAAGTAGTATAACTTGTACGTCTCTGAATGTATGTATGTATTTTTTATATCACTTTGCCTTAATAATGTTTTTTTTTTTTTTTAATTTTCAGATGAAATTAATGATGATTTGTTGGAAGATGAATTATTAACATACGATACTTAGTTTAATGCATATTTTTATGGAAACATAGTTTTACATTTGTTTATGCAATTTAATGCGTTTTTACATGAAAACATAAAATAATGTTTGTTTTTATGGTTTTTATTATTTATAATTTTTATATTGTTTTCAATTATATACTTGATATATATAAGTATTTGTTTTTACAAAAATTTAGTTTTTTTTCAGCCTATGTCTTGAAAATCATCGATAAAGAATTACCAAGCAAAGGGTGGGGGTGGGGGTGGTTGTAGTGTTTTGTTTTATGCGGGGTTTCTTTTGTGACTTATTAATTTTAAGGTTAATTTTATAAATTATTTTAAAAGAAAAACTAATTATACAGTCTCTTGCAAAAGTTTAAAATCAGTTTAGTGTTTTTTAGGTAAATCCAAATTTATTAACATTTATGTTATATATATAATGTGCAGGGGTCAAAATAAGTGTCGGACATATTGTCGGACAGCGCCCCCGGACTATTTTTAAAACCTGTATTATTAGGGAAATTAAACATTGTTTATTTTTTTTAAAAAATGTGCAATGGTTTGTTGCCCTCTTCTAGTAGGTCTCATGAATAGTCCGAGGGGCAGCGATGTCTGACACTTACTTCGACTCCTGCATGTGTATGTATATAGTGTAAATTAAATTTTAGCTTTGTATATGTCATTTTCAATAACTTATGGATTTACCTAAAATTTGTTTAACAGATTCTAAACTTTTGCAAGAGACTGTAATTTAGACATTAAATAAAATTTTAATTCATTTTAAAATTCATCAAGTAATTTATCATTAACATCCATCAGGTTACATATTTATCATTAACATCCATCAGGTTACATATTTATCATTAACATCCATCAGGTTCCAATTGTATTAAATTTACGAGTGTGGTTAGTATATTTAATTTCCGTTTTCATTAAAATGAGGAACAATGGAAAAAAGCCTTAGAAAAATAAAAAATAAAAACTTGTCTCATTTTAGAATATTTATATTAATAAGGTTTTTAAGTTTTTATTTAAATATCTTTTGACGTTTTTTGACTATATTATTAAAAAAAATTTAAACAAACAATCCATAAAAAATATATGTTGAAGTCTCTACCAATCGAATATTATTTAAGTAGTTTTTAATCATATTTTAAAAAATGTATAGACATTTACCTTTAAGACAAATATTTGCGATTTCACTTTTTGCATCACAAATTAAATCAATTAAAATAAAATTTTAGTTTTACGCAGAAGAAAAAAAAATTTCAGAGTTTCTCTTGACTTCATTGTTGGTTTATAAAATAATTATTATCTTCGTTTACTTCATTATATTTAATGTTTTAATTTCTCAAACTCATTTACAATACACACATACACATCAGTGAATGGAATCGAAGTCTTGTGTGCATTGTGAATGAGTTTATAAAATTAAAGTTTCAAAATAATTTTTCTTCATTTCTTTATTTAAAACAAAATAAGTTTAAACAAATTCTAAAAAAAAATTTATTTTAAGTTTTTATCATTATAAACTTCTTTTAGTTATTTTATTTTTCTTTTTTTCTTACTGTTTTTATAGAAATTTTGTTGTTTTTGTCATTATTATTTATTATTTTTATTACTGCTATTTTTATTATTATTATTGTAATTATTATAAATACATTTTTGGTGTCACTTTTTATTAATGAATAAAGTTATTGTAATTATCGTTATTTTTAAATTAATATTATTAATATAGTTATTTGGTGTCACTCCTTTGATTAGGTTTTTGCATGAGTGACTCCTTCCTTGCTAATCAATTATTTACATTTGTTCCTAATAATAATATTATGATTTTGTTATTTATAGTATTATAGATATTCTTTTTATTATTATTATTATTATATTATTGCAAATATATGATTCCAAATTTTGAGGAAAATAAATATCTTGTTGTTGTTGTTGTTGTTATCATTTAAAGACTCGGTCACTAACATGATGTAAGGTTTACCAACTTTGGTATATCAGTGCCTCTGTCGGAGGTCCCCATAAACGCAGCCATTCGTGTTCCAAAATCTTAAAGATTTTTCCACTACGTATTACCAAAAAAAAAGCTTAAATTTGCAAAAGGGTCTCTAAATTTCCAAATAATTCCCCTAAAATTGCTGGACCTCCCCCCCCCCTCCCACCCTTCAATTGGGAACGTGGGGAAACCTAGCCACAGCTCTGGCAAGGATAAAAGATTTTGAAAAGAAATTCCTTTACTTATGTCATATAAGTAAAGGAATTTCTTTTCATAATCTTTTTTTTCATTCAATCAATTTTTTGTATTTTATATTTTGTATTATTATATATATTATATTATGTATTATATTATATTGTATATTATATTATATTATTATATTATGTATATATTATATTGTATTATTATATATACATATATATTATATTATGTATATTATGTATTTTGAATTTTAAGTTTTCGGAGTTTTAAATTTTTTTGAAGAATAATTAAATCTTTTTAAATAATTATTTAATCCTTTTAAAAGTTAATTTAATCCTTTTAAAAAGTAATTTAATCCTTTTAAAAAGTAATTTAATCCTTTTAAAAAGTAATTTAATCTCAGAAAGGTAATTAGGTTAAATGTTGGGTTTTGTGAGAAAATAATTTCTATTTATCAAACTTACTTTAAAATCAACAAAATATAAAATTACATTTAAATAAAATTATTAACTAAAAACTTTCCCTTCGAAGACTTTTATCAGGCCACTCCCTAACGTGATTAAAAAAAAACAATACAATGATTTGCTGTAATTCCATTTGAAATAGATGCTACTAATTCTTCGTTGGTATTCGGATTTTCAAATTTGATTATATGGAAAATTCCTCAATAAGATTTAATTGTGGGCTATATGTATACAACAGACAAAAACCTCGTCATTTTATAACTCTCCGAACATCTTCTTTTTAACCCAGTGAACGCGGACGTAAAAAAAACGTTTTTTAAACGTCTTATATACTTTTTGGACTTCTTTTGAACGTTTTAGACGTCTTTTGAACGTTCAAAAGACGTCTTTTTTTAGTCCGGTGCCCACTGGGAAATAGAACAGTTATCCGTAATTAGAAACTTTGACAGCGTGTTGGTTTAGTATATGACTTTTTAATAGGGGATAAATGAACAAAATGGCGGTTTTGTTTAATTAATTATAAGCACTTTTTTGTTGTTTTAGTTTTTCTAAACGACTTTAATAAACGAATATTGGATATTTTTTGAATGTGTCTATTAGAATGTGCAATGTATTATTTTATATTACAACTCTATATAGAGTAAAATACATAATACTATATAGAGTAAAATACATAATGTACACAATTTATTGTTCAATCTGCAATTTTTAATTTCAATACTCATGATTTTTGTCATTACAAAAAATAAAAAACAGGAAAAGTATTATGTTATTTGATACATAATTGTATTTAAGCATATGGAAGTTGTCTTTTTTTCAGCAATATTTCTTTATCTATATTATTTAATATCAGATAGTAAAAAATAGTGTTACGTTATGCTTTCAAACTTTGTCCTGTAAACAACAAAAAAATCATCAGCTATTTTTATTTCTTTTCTTTAGCCATGCTTCTGAATTTTTTAAACTTTTTTAGAATCAGTATGTTCAATAGGATCAAAAGCGTATATTTTCTCACTGTTAACATTTATTTCTGTTAAGTCTCTTTGTATATGTTACTAAATATCGTAAATAGATTGTAAAGATAGAAAATTGTTTTCTTTGCTTCAACACACTCCTTGTTATTATTTTTATAATAATTTTAGTATAACAATTTTTTAAGGTGGTTCACCTTTAAAAAAAAGGCACAAAATTCAAAAAAAAATTGTTTTTTCAATGTTGGATGATTTTTGTACAAAATTTATTCAGCTTTCTGATTGTGAAAAAAAAGTTTAAAATATATTTTAGTTTTTTTGTTATTAAACAAAATCTTGTAATATGTATTTTTAAAACGCATAGCAACGCATATAGCAACATACTCGCAACCAAAAAATTATTTATATCATCCTATCCTTAACTTATTAAAACTAAATTTTTTGAAATATGAATGTTATGTATACTTTGTTTTATTTGTTATGCTTTTAGTCATGCTTTCAAATAACTAAAGCACATTTTTTAAGATTAAAAATAAGGCTTCCAGCTGTTTTTTAAGTTGCTTCGAGTTTCATCTCACCTTAATATATATTTGTTATACAAACGTTTCATGCTAGAAATATGGAGATTATGAAATTTTCTAACATTTATATCTAATTACTTATTGTGGTAAACGTTTTGTGATCTTATTAAGTTAGTATTATAAATTCGGTTTTCTTTAACAATATAAAGATGCATTATGAAAAACATTTTTTTAACAGCAAGACATACTGAAATAAGTTTAGTTTGACAAGACGTAGAAATTTAGTCTTTTTTACTTTGAATGTCATTTTTAAAGAATGTCATTTTTAAAGTCATGGTATTTTTTCCTCTGCTTCACGGAAGTCTTTTATAAATAATAACAATGAAACAATGAAATAATAACATTTTTTTGAATCCAACAATTTAAAAGTAATATTTTTAAATCCAACGTTACAAAATGAAAGATATGTGGGTTCTTTTTTAAACTGCAGCAAGACAAATTTGTTCCCCATAAAATTTTGATAACAAGCAACGTTAACGTAAGTTTAAACAAAATTCGTTTCAACAATCACAACTTTTCTGGCAATTTTCGTTCCAAAACTGCATTTAATTTTTAATAATTGCATCAATTTTTCTGTTCTAAACTGCATTATCTTATATTTTAAGTATACTTTTTAAAAATAGCTGAAATGATAGAAGGGTGCGCTGAGTCTTTTATATTTAAAGAGGTAAGTAGAAGCGAGATACTTGTAGAATCCAAGCAAGTTTTGAGTTCAAAACGTCTTTTTGTCTTTCACTTTAGTTTTTAAGCAAGAAAAGGGTACTGTTTAAGTTTATTTATTCTGATGCGTAACTCGTGTAAAATGCAACTTGTAGATAAACAATAGTCTATTCATCATTTTGTA